ACAAGTTTAAAGTTTCTTTAAAATACATTCAAAATGTTTAAAAATAAACTACAAAAATTAATTTAAAGTACAAATTTAAAAAAGTACAAATTAAATAAATTTTCTGCACAGTGTCTCTTGTAGTTTATTTTACCTGGACCAATCAGAGAACAGAAGGAGGAGCTTTGAATGACGTCGATGTTCTGCTCAGTGTCTGCTAGTTATTTTAGCATACAGCAGTGGAGGAAGTGAATGAAGCCAGTCTGTGTTGATRAGRCTTCAAATTAAAATAAATTAGTCTGACAAAGCAGCAGCTCTCATTTACAGTCGTCTCGTTCAGCTCCGTATATTTCTCCTCTCAGTAGGGTTGTTTACAGCACACATGATTTCTGTTAGCTTCTTAGCTTAGCCTCCGTCACAGTGACACACGTCGCAGCCAACTGATCCAATCATTTTAAACTTCAGCAGAGGCCACGCCTCCTGCAAGAAACGATTCTCTACGCATCAAGTCCAGACCCTCGTACGAAGCAAAGTGCAGGACAGGGTCTGGTTTAAACCAGGCTGCTGCAGCCTAAAGTTAAAAACTGTTGTTCTTTTGATGCCCTCAAGGTGGCGCTCATGACCCAGACTCTCTGCTTTAAATAACCTGATGTATTAAATGTAAACGGGCTGCCGGCAGCTGTTTTTTTCTTAAAAACACACGTAAGGATTAGGTTGCAGAGGAACCTCATGTATCTGTGGTGGCTGCTTTCATATTATACTTTCAACACGGCTGACTGATGTGTTTCCTGCAGGGGAACGACCCCCCTGAGAACTGCAGCAGTGTTCAGAGGGCTACAGCGGGGGGTCAGACCTGATCTGAGAGCTGTGAACCAGATGAAGCAGACACTGTGACCGACATGTTGCCTCCTGGAAGACAGAAGAGGCAGCCTTTCCTCAGATTAGCTACGTGTCGAGGAGACAACAGCTGCAGAGGGTCGATGCACCTCGACAGAGCCACTGCTCCAACCATGTCAGGCCTTCTAATGTGACACATGTGTCAGCTCTATGCACCGAAACTGGAGCTGCTCACTAACTGCTGTGTTACATGGTTTCATATGACACAACAGAGCAGCGACAACAGCAAAGTGTTACAGCCTGCCTTTGGAAGCTGATAAATKAAYTTGAACTAAATCAATTTTAGCAGGAAAATAAATCACAATAATGAGATGTGAATCTATTRACAAAAGGTAAATACTGTTTTCACACAGCAACAAGTGATGAAATTGATTTGGACAGATGTGTAATCATGAAATGAACGTGGTCTAATTAGCTGAGTCATGCTGCTGTCAAACACCTGGTAAATACGCACCTCTGACCTAATAAAAGTTCATTTCTATCTCACTTCATTAAATCTAAATCARGTTTTATTGCAGCAGTTATTTGGTGTTTAACCTGTTAAACGCCTGTAGGCTGGTTTCTCAGAGGATTTTAAAGAAGATGTTCTACTACCGTCATGAACGCAAACATCTTCTGACCTCTTAGGACAGGATTTAGTAACGTGGAGACGTTACTGCCCTCCCTGGTTCAGCTACAGGTCAGGCAATTTGTACGTTTTGTTTTTTGGGCGAAGCAACACGTGCTGTTTGTCAGTGGTGGGCAGCGCTAATCCAAAAATTAGCTCCGCAATTTATAAAGCGCTTATGAAAATATTTAAGTACACAACTTAAAAAAAACTTATGCCGTAGAAAAACTAGCAGAAGCTAATTTTAAAGCGCAAGTTCAAAATGACACTTACTAACTGACAATTCATGTACTGTATGTGCACAACACTGCCAACTAGTGGTGTATGAACTCTTTTACAACTTAATCCTACAACCATTGATTACTGGGGATGTGATTTCCTGAAACAGACCTTTAGCTCCTGGTGTAAAAATTAAAAACTTGTTGAGGATTGCTAGTTCGGCTGCTTCTTTGTCTTTTTCTTTTGTTTGTTGTAGATTTTTCATTAAAGTAATTTTAAAACTTTATTGGAAAACTGAAGCGATGCATTCTGGGTACATGACGGATTTGATTTGTGACGGGAAACGAAAGCAAAGAGTACAGGAAACTATCTTCCCTTCAAAATAAGAGCTTGGATTTTAAAGTTTTCCATGTAGTTGCTCCAGTTGATCACTAGACAAACTTTTAGCATGGATAACAAACGTTTACTGTTTTAGCTGGGATCAATCGGCATAAACCACCTCTCTCATTTGGATTACAAATTCATTCAGATCGTGCTGAATCAGATCAGAATACTCAGATTTGGGTGTTTACATACGTAGCCGTTTGATCCGATTACTTATATCCATGTAAACATAGCTACTGTTAGTTAGCTGCTGTCGCTGTTTGCACTTGAAGTTTAAATGAAATTATATTTTCATTATATATATTTGTATGAACTAGGGATGTCYGATACCARCATTTTTACAAGTATTTGTACTGTAGGTGTTCAAAATGCCCCAATACCATTTTTTTGCRTGGAYGAYTAYATTTTAAATAAAACTTCYATTAGACCCCAGTGTGATCGCTTTGTTCCATGGATGCAACACACAAGATGATGTGACGTCACAGGAGTAAACCTGCAGATGCTRCATGTTAGCTGACTTCTGATGAAGTCTGATGAAATGGGACGCGATCGTTCAGACTGAGATTTGTAAAAATCAGATATGTATCTGATTTAGTAACAAGATCTAATTTTAAAAAGTGTTTTTATGTTTTTATAATCCCTGTTTATTGTTTAAATTCTAACTCACTAAGTACTTGGTATTGATACTTGAATATACGAGAACTCAAACTGATGTACTCATACTCGTACTTGGTTTGATAAAAGCTGGAATCGGTGCATCCTTAGTATGAACAACTAACACGTGAGACTGACAGCAGCACTTTATCATTAGCTACATTCAAATTAGCCATTAGCTTGTCAGTCCTGTCAAACTTTAATATAATAATAATTATAATCATAGCTATTAGTTGTTTATTTTTTATACAAACCCTGTTTCATAATGGCTGAACTATATATTCAGAATACACCAATAAATCAATGCTATGATTGTATCTGAAAAACATTTCCTCTGTCCTGTTCTGAAACACATTCAAAGCCTATTTCTTACATTTTTAAACAAGTGGGAAAACATCTTTCAGATTGTGCAACTATTTCCTACCAGTTTATACACTTATATTGTGTTACAGATAAAATTAGAGAAAATGGTGTTTGGTTGGTCCAGTCTTCATAAAGCTTTGTTCTGAGGCAGTGGCACCCTTCCTGCCTCACAGGAGCTGTGTTTATTAGCTTCCTAACTTGTAGCCAAAGGTGTGAACAGTAGCTACCTGCAGGAGCGTCTGAGGTCATTTTAATCTAATCTGTCATTAAAGGTGGTAATTAGGAGGGCTCCCACCCATTTATTGACTGAGAGGAGCTGTTACAGTTGGTTAACTTCTTACCTTTTAGACATAAGCTTCACCTCTTTGTTTACAAAGCTGCTTCTTTTTAGAGTGATCAAAACATTATTTTTATTTAATAACCTTTATTTAACCAGCCAAGTCCCAAAACTGAACATCCTGCGTATTTTTATAGTCTTTACAGTTAGAATATATGTTTATCAAATAAAGTCTAATGTTACAACTAATCATGGATCGCTTTAAGAAAAAGTGCCACAAACAAAAGGTTTATTAACGTCTAAACCTAAAGGTTTGTTGTTAAACTTTTTTATAGGAAGTTCGATTGTCCACAATAAGCTGTACTTTAGTGATTTATTTGATTCTGTAAATAAATCATCACATTAATTGTTAGATCAAATGAAACACAAGCTGGAGTTAGCAGGAAGTGAACCTTACATAAGCTCCGTAGATATTCTTCTTGGCCACCACAAAGATGAGGCAGATGAAGATGGCCGAGCCCAGCATGCTGACAGCACACACCAGCGGGTCGGCCCGGTCGGTCTTCTTGCGACAGAAGCGAGTGGTGGCGAAGCCGATGACCACGCCCAGCAGCCCTGTCACGCAGGTGATGGTCCCAAAGATGAAGCTGCAGGGAAAAAGACTCGTTTTGTTGGGATCTCCTGTAACTGAGACGTTTATTTTCTAAACATGATGTCCCAGTAGCTTTCAAACCCCAAAACACATTACGGCAAAGGCTGGTTCACCCCAAAGATCCGGTG